CTGCCGAAATCACAACATGGACAGGTTGAAAGAGATGGCCGGGGAAAGCCCCCCGCCTCCCCTTTCTCGGCTCCGGAGAAAGCGAAGCGAGCCAGAAAACTAACCAACGCAGCCTTTAATCAGTCGCAGCTCAAGGAGGTTTCTCTCTCCTCTCCTCCCCACCGCCTCCCAAGCCTGGGGAGAGAGCGAAAGGCAAGGGGATCCTTTTTTTAAAAAAATCTTTCTTCTGCTAGATCGGAAGGACCCGTTTAGCCTCCGCCGAGGCGAGGCGGAGGAGGAGGAGGAGGAAGAGAAGGACTGATTTTGCCCAGATTCGAAGTGAAGTGCGGTTTTGTTTTTCAGACCTTGTGATTAGCAGCTCGCTGGTGTTTACTTAAGCCCAGCTCAATTCACAGGGGTCGGCGAAATAGCAGAGCTGGGTGGTTTGGTTACGGGGTACGGCGCTGTCGTCTCCAAGACGCGAGCGTGTGTGTGTGTGTGTGTGCGCGTGTGTGTGCGGGCGGGCGCTTGGATCGAACGGCAGAGTCTCGAAATTAATCACCTACATTCCTGCCTTAGTCTATAGAAACTCTGGATAAAACAGCGAGCAGGAATGTTCTTACTGACCGCTCTCGTTCTCCAGGCCACCAGACACTGCAAACATTTCTTGCCGCCGATTTCTCGCGGCAGATGACCCCGAGATAGTCACGTCCATGACATCACCCCCACCCCCAGGATCTGGCTGGCTTGAAGTTTTTGAAAAGCAAACTTTAATTGCCTCTAGAAGAAACGGCAGGGGGACGCACACGGACAAGGCATGCGTGTCTTGAAGCCAACCCTGTGCGGTAGCCCCTGCACGCGACGCGTTCACATGGAAGTCAGTGCCGTTGAAGGATTAAGGAGACTTTGCTGTAAATACACTTGGGACTACCTTAAATTGGAACCTCAAGCTCTGATCCTAATGCCGTGGCTAGAAGGATGATCTAGTCATGCTCCCAAAGGGGGGGGGGGCTTCCACGTGATTTCACTAGGATTGCCAACTTACGATTTTCAAAATGCTGCTGGAGCAATCCGTGGTCAACATACAAAGCCTGGTGACTTGGGGTGAAGAAATGGGGCCTGGGAGATTTTGTTCTGGTTTGTGCCAATAGTGAGCATGCTAGAATAAGATCTGGTAAAGAGGCACCCCAGTTTCCTCTGACACAAAATAGACAAGGTGTGTTTGTTTCTAACAAGACACTGGATGGTGAATCAGGGACTGATAAAAATAGCACAATTGGATGAAACACAGATGCACAGAAATATAGAACAGTATCATGTGCAAAGCACAATAAAAATTGGAGTGTTGATCACATCATCGTGGCTGCCATCTTGATTTTTTTGACCATGCCCTGTGGACACCCCTGCACCAGCAAGTCCTGTTTATGTTCCCCAGCAAGTAATCTTAAGAGGTGTTTTACCTCTAATGTTGGAGAGACTGTTTAGTTACTGAGACTAGTAGCCTTAATTTGAAAGATAACTTTTCACTAACTATAGAACCTTTGGGTGGGGGGTAGCGAGCAGAACTTTTCCACAAAGTTTAAAAAGAAATGCTGTGCTGCTGCAACACAGACACACACACACACTTCCGATAAGCCTTTTTTATATCAGGAGCGTGGGCAATCAGGGAGGCAGCAGAGTGATTGAGAAAAGTATATGACAAGAGTAGCACATCAAAAAAGCAAGGTCAAAAACACCACTGCATCATTTTCTGAGAATGCGATAGAAAAATAAAAATCGCTTTTGCAAGAGAAAACTTTCAGGAAATCTGAGGCTGAATTCACAATTCAAAAACAAATATGAAAAACCAATCTCTTAACTGCTAATAATAAGACACTTCTATTCATAATTAAGCTGATGACAGTTTTCAAGAAGCAAACAGGGCCTTTCAATAAAATGTGTTTATGACAGAACAGTAGGGGTTTTAACCGTACATCTCTCATACAGTGTCACTGGGGGTGCGGTGTCAGTTAACCTGAATCAGTTAAGGAGGAAAAAAGCAACAGCATTTGAACATGACAGTAGTTTTCAAGCTATGAATCAATGAATTCTGGGGTGCCTTAATAAGATCAGAAAAACTTCCTACCATTGTAGCTGAAGCCCATACACCAGTTTGGTGGTTTTTAAGTGTGTCGTCTCACCACATGCTGTTCTTTCCATAACAAAGAATAGTAATTGGACAAATGGATTTGCTGGAATTTCCCCCTCTGTACAGTTATTAATGGCTTTGACTGCCTCACAGTTTGGGCCTGGTAAATCAGCCAGCCTGCTTGGATTGATTGAGACAAGACCGAGATGGCTCAGACCTGCTGGTGAAACTGAATCATGGCTTTTAGGAGTTAAGAAGCATAGTGATCAAGCACTGATACGCCAGGCTTCCCAAAGCCTCACAGAGTTTACCTGTCAGAAAAGGAAAGACATGTCGGAGAGGTGGGTGAGGTCAAGCTTCTTAATTTTCCTCCTTTAGATCCCAAAGAAGTGTGTGCATGAATCAACATCAGGGTATCTGGTACAGATGAAAAAGAAATCCGTTGTGGATTTCTTTAACACTGAAATACAGTACTCCTGTCAGCTAAAACAGACCCCACTATAGCAGAATTGACAGAAATGAACAGAGTCTGCTGCTGGTCATTCTTCTTTCCTTGAAATATTCAGCAAGCTAGCATGTGAGACATTTTGTAGCAAAGAGCATACATTAGCAACATTAAAAAAAAAATTGCTTCGAACCTCATGGCCTTCTCAAGAATAGGTACCAAGGTTGCTGCCAAACCGCTGCAGTTTTCCATACTTTCCTTCATATTTGTGGCAACTGTTGTACAGGCTTAAGCTTTAGCAAACAATCACCGAGGCTTTTTGTGGTTTAAAGATAAAGTTTCCTCTGAATTGAGCTCAACTGCTGGCAATTGCATGAACACTTTCACATATTGTAGTTTTTCTCATCGTAATAGAGAAGCAGTTGGCCGTTGTGTTCTTCTTATATATTTTTTCAGCTTCAAGTCTAGCTCTCAGCTTCCAAGCTTAAAGCTTCCTGGTGGTCTCCAATCCACTTTTTAAACTGATCCAACAAAGCGTAGTTTTTCCAAATCAGCCATTTAATTAATAGTTTCCTGTTCTTCTCTTCCGAAGTTCCTGCCCAGAATTAATTCATAGCTGCAGCAGTCCTGAAGAGGCCACTAATTAAATAGTTTCTATTGCTGGAAAGCTTAGCAGTTCTTTCTCTTTCTGCAACCAAAGTGACAGATCATCATTGTATCCCTTTTTATTATTATTATTTACCTAACTGATTTAAAAGAAAGTTTTCCTCCAGTTAATAAGAGGTTGCTCAGACTAAACTGAACTGATAAGCAGTTTTTACAATAAGGTGTGACTGTCTCTTTTCCTTCATTCTGAGTCATGGGAAGAATGCTGATTTACAGACTTAGACTTAACCTGGGAAATGTGCTTTAGGGAGTTATATTGTAGTTATAGTATGTGGGTTGAAAGCATGAAAAGTTCACAGAGACAAGGCGTTCAACTGTGTCACCTGCTATAGTGCAGTGACTTCTGATCAGATACTTTCTTACCAAAAAAGGGACCGAAGATCATGAACTGATCAATTTCCTATATAACCCTCATAAGAAATTATAGGTGGTGGGTGTTTCATTACCCGATGTTCTCTCCAAAGCCTTTGTAAGGCCCTGAGTCATGGCTTGGATCTGGCTTCAGAGCAGGCTGTCCCTGCATATCATATTGTATTAGTAACAAATCTTCATTCTGTCTGAGATCCTGATGGCATAACTTAATTACATTGTTGTCACTTCCAGTAGCAACCTGGAAGTATAACAACACATGGATCATATTTCAGGCTGAATTTGTACAATATGTGATCTATCTCACCACATATATAAGTTTCAATAGCACATTTCATCAGAGCATAGCAGTTTAAAAACTAATAACCAATTTATAGACCCGGGTCATCTGGGGATGGAGAGCAACAAAGTCAAAGTCTTGCCCCTTTTTAACATACATGTCATTTTATGCACCTGCCATCACTGACCCCTCCTGTGAGCACCTTGAATGATGCAACTAGTCTCGGGGAGTTGGCTTCAGTTCCAACATTTCTCCCCAAAGCAGTTAAGAACATCTAAGAAGGCAGTAGTTCAAGGAAAGCCACACTAAAGTGTTTATGATGTCCACTAACCGGTCAAGGAGTGGACGATGAGCAACTATCTGAACAGAAGTGCATTTCTGCAGGATTAATCCTTGTACTGGGATTAATGCAATTTAACTTACTGTTAATTAAATGAAACCTAGGATGAATAATGGCAGATGGTAACCAAATGATTCAATAAGCTGACATTCCCACAATCCCCACTGTGGAAAGCTTTAGGAAGATCATTCCAAAAAAAGAAAAAGAAAAAAGAAAATAAAAAGCACCAAAATGACAAATATGGTTTATGTACGTAAGAATAAAGTGACATGTACTAAGGCAATTGGATGTGAAGTGCAGAAAGCGGATGTTGAAATTGTGCTGCATAGCTCATTAAAGCCATTCAGTGTGCAGCAAAAAGAAAAGGGCAAGCTCTTCATGTTAGGAAACACTGAAAAATCAAATTTATCTAAAAGCAATTTTAGCTAAGAGAGCCAGTTTAGTGTAGTGGTTAAGGCACCAGTCTAAAAACCATGATTTCTAGTCCTGCCTTAGGCACGAAGCCAGCCAGGTGATGTTGGCCAGTCCCTCTCTCTCACCCCTAGGAAGGAGGCTGAAAATGTTGCCAAGAAAGCTGCAGGGACTTGTCCAGGCA